TTGCCCATCCTGTTGGTCTAATCATTCTGGAATTGTTATCAGAGCCCGAGACAATTTCAAACAATGCATTTTCAGGAAAAATATTTAGAAATGGAAGAAAAGGTTTATTTTTTTCCTATATAAGTCTGTTATTAGGTAATAATTCAGAGTATAAGAGAGTATGAGAAATGTTGCTTTTGCTTTCAGATTTAAGTAGAATAGAAAGAAAATGACATCCCAAAGTTCTGTTTTTGTGAAAAAGACTGTAACCATGGGTTATGAAGGCAGTATATGCAAAATACAAAACAAATCTTTCTAAAATATTGCTCCAAAGTTGCCTGTGACTATATGTGTGCATATATTAGTGTGTGTGTGTGTGTGTGTGTGTGTGCGCGTGTGTGTGTGTGTGTGTGTGTGTGTGAAGTTTCTGAATTCAAAGACATGGCACAGTATGAGTTTTAAAAATAGTTGTTTAACGTTTTGAAGGATATTCCATTTACTGTTTTATAGTCTGAATTCAAGGGAAGGAATAATGATTTCAACCCTCTTTGTATAAGAATAATGAACATTTAAAAATGTGTAGTTTAAGTTTAGACATTTTAAGTAGTTCTGTATTTGCATGAAAGGATGCTGGGTCATTTTTCCTCAGGTTATTAGTATTTGGGGGATTTTAAATCGAAGAGAATCTTGAGTTTCTTTGTAAATGAATTCTTGACTAACTCATTGTCTACCTGTACAACATTGTTTCTTCTCCCTGAGAAATTTACAGAATAACCAATAGGTAACAAGTAATGTCTCTTTTGTTCCATGTTTTCCTAGGGATACTTCCTGTTTCTGCTGTTTCTTCATGTTTTTCTTGGGAATACTTCCTTCCTGTTTCTGCTGTGGTCTTCCATGTTTTCCTGGGGATACTTTCTTCCTATTGCTGTTGTGTCTTCTGTGCTTTCCTGGGGGAATCTTCCTTCCTGTTTCTGCTGTGTTTTCATGTTTTCCTGGGGAATACTTCCTTCCTGTTTCTGCTATGCCTTTGTGCTTTCCTGGGGATACTTCCTGTTTCTGCCGTGTCTCCATGTTTTTCTGGGGGATAATTTCTTCCTGTATCTGCTGTGTCTTTGTGTTTTCCTGGGGTATATTTCCTGTTTCTGCTGTGTCTTCTGTGTTTTTCTGGGGAATACTTCCTTCCTGTTGCTGCTCTGTCTTCGTGTTTTCCTCTTTCTACCATGTATTCAGTGTTTTTCTGGGGGATGCTTTCTTCCTGTTGCTGCTGTCTTCTGTGTTCTCCTGGGAAATACTTCCTTCCTGTTGCTGCTGTTTCCATGTTTTCTTTCCACTTACCCACCCGTCTGACATTTCCTTTGTTGTGTCTGACTACATTTTGTCAGCTTCCCTCCCTTTGCATGCCAGTTCCATCTTCTCCAGGTGCCCATCAAGAAACTCCGACTTTCCTCTGTATCCCAGTTTCAGCGCTATAGCAAATGCTCCATCTGCCCTGTTTTACCTGGACTTTGTAACTACTTCAGTTACAGGACTTTTCCTTTCTGTCTCTTCTTATGCTTGTCAGTTCTTTGATACTATCTTATATATTTAGTCTCTAGTTTAAAAATGGCTCAATAAAGTTTTGTCAAATGAATTGACAGAAGAAGTTAGAACCTAAAAGGAAAGAACAGACCTTTTCCAGTTGAATAAAGAGAAAATAAAATGTGTCAGTGAAGAAATAGTATTTGTTCTTGTTCTTAACATAGAATTTATTTTCCCTTTGTGAACTCCAAAGACATATCACTGAGGCTTGCTTAAGAAGGATTTTCACCAATCCTTTTGCCCTGCACAGAGGCACTGTACTGAGAAGAGATAAATGTATACTTCTTCCTGTCTGCAGAACCTACTGTGAGTCTGTGGGAACTTGAGTGCCAGTGCTCTGTGGGTCATAAGAAGAGCTGGCTTCAACACTGTACCACTCTTGTCTGGATCTAAGCCTTTCTTTTCTTGGCATCCAAATGACATATCTTTATCATTCAAAGGTTAAGCTTGTGTATTTTAATTTTTCTAAAATTAGCCCTGACCTTTTAGAAAAAATAGATTTGATAAACATATTATTTTCTCCTCTACTGCCGTGGGAAAACTTTGGCAAATAAACTCAAAAAGGAAGGATTTGTTTTTGTTTTTTGAAGTTAAATCCATCATGGCCAAAAAATCAAAGTGTCAGGAGCTTGAAGTAGCTGATCATGCCACATTCCCAATCAGGCATACAGTGTTCTGCTGCTCAACCTCCTTCTCCACTATAGTCCAGGGCTTTAGTCACTGGTCATGCCACGGTTACAATTAGAAACAGAGTAAGTCTGTTGCTCAGCCTTCTTCTCCATTACAGCCCAGGACTGTAGCCAGGGAATTAGTGAATCTTTCTAAAAAGTATAGTCTGGTGAAATACTTTCATTGCTTTGATTGTTTAACAAAAGTTAACCTTTAAAAGTATACATAGGTATTGTGATTATAAAAAGTATATAAGTATTTATAAGAAAGAACAGCAGCTGCAATGCAGAGTTGCCATACTTTTTACAATGCTTAAATATTATAGTAAGTTTTTATTTCTGAAGCTTGTTTGTGAAGGAGGGAAGGCCACTCTTATACCCTAAGGAAACTAACACCTTGAGAGATTAAAGGTTTATCTACTCCTTAGATGAAAAGGTACCAAGTGACTACATTGGATCTAGCAATTGAAGGTGCAGTGCTGGGTCATTTATCCTACTTTATTTTGAGGGTGAAGAGACAGATTTATGCACAAACATAGATGTTAACATTAGTTACAATTAGTTAAAGGTGGCGCACACCTTTAATCCCAGCACTCAGGAAGCAGAAGCAGGCAGATCTTTGTGAGTTCGAGGCCAGCCTGGTCTACAAGAATTAGTTCCAGGACAGGCTCCAAAGCTACAGAGAAACCCTGTCTCAAAAAAAATTAGTTATAATGGAAACACAGATGATGTAAACAGCTCAAAGATTTGGCTGGATAGGGCTTCATGGGAGGTTATTTTTAAAACATTTCCGTTGAAGAGTGAGTGGGAGTATTTACAGGAACACTGTTGACTAAAATGAGGTTAGATAAGACATTTAATTTTCTAAATGCTTCAATAAGGATTAACGACAAAAGTGAAGTATTTTAAGTAATGTAATATATGTGGGATACTTTTGTTCTCATATTTACATCTTTAAAATCAAAGTAGTTGTATATTTTGCACCTATGAAATAAAAATATCTCATCTTGCACTAGCTACATTGCAAATGCTGCAAGTCTACAAGATATGAAATATGTGTACACAGGGCAAGAAGTGGAAGAAGGAGCAACGGAGGGGCGGGGTAGGCAAGATGGGCAGATAGAGGGATGAAGGAATGGAGAAAGGCAAACTTAACAAGGTTGCTGATGCCATTTTAAAAGTTATTATTTGTCAGTTGAATTTGAAATGTATCTGTATAACAGTTTATGTTTCTGAGATCTGCGGTTTAGGAATAGCTTTGAGATTTTTGAATATTTTGCAGACTAATATCTGTGAAATAAGGTAACAATGAATTAATAAAGGAAAGGAAATTAAAAAAACACTTTTGTGAGAACTGAAAAATCTTGTCTGTCTATTTTGTGCTTTGTGACACAATTACTAACGTAACTAGTAATAAACAGAAATTTATAGGCTCATTGATTTGGATCCTGGAAAATCTGATAGAGGGTTTTTCTTATTGTGTAACCACATGAGGCAAGATTGTGTGGCAGAAGGACATGAGAGGCTGTGAAAGAAAAACCAAGAGAAGGTTCTAAAACAACTACCCTTGTGAAGAAATAAGTTCATTAGGACTTCAAGACCTACACTTAAAAGTCTCATCACTCAGCAACTCTACTGATGCCAATTAAACAATGATATATCCTTTAGAAGGGGCAGTCAAGCCACAATGTATGCAGTTTAAAAAGTGTCTGACACAATATCGTCCAAACTTTCTGCAATGATAATAATTCCGTTTGAGCTGTGTGGTATGGAAGCCACTAGTCACATGTGCCTATTAAGTCCTTGAAAAATGCCTGGAATGACTGCAGAATTAACTTTAAATTTTTTTAATGTTAAATTAAAATGAACCCATGGACTATTGTCTACAAGCACTAAACTGAGCAGCACTCGCTACACTTATTCTCAGTCTCCTCTCAGTCTCCATGCCACTTTATGGGTCTGAACTCCCTGCAGTGCTGAGTGAGTAGCAGTGTTTAGCATAGAGCTTAGAACTGGAAAAACTATGTATTCCCAGTTTCTTAATCTCTCTGTCCTGATGCATAAGTTCCTTTTTCATAAAAATAAAGGTCATAAGTGTCTGCCCCCTAAAGTGAGGCCCCTATGGGGATCAAATGTGATAACAAGAGCATTATACTTAGGACAGTGTCTTATACATAAGCCATCATGACAAAATGTATTCGTTGTTTTTATTATTATTGTTTCAGTGATGGGTATCACAGAGCTAAAGACTAGCAAATCCCATGCTTTGTTTCTGCATTTGTTTAAGCTCTATGCTTCTAAAAGCATATCACAGTTCCTAGAATATAGCTAAATAAATATTTTTGAAAAGAATCAGGTATTTTTTAGTGGAAATGGGATTAGGAAAAATGCTGAGAGGTCAAGTTGTGTAGACAAAGAAAAAAGAGCTCATTTGGGCAGAGGAAAGATGGGCACAGTTGAACAGTGCTCTGTTAATAGGGAGGTGCAGCTGGTACCCTTTCACCATGCTTCTTCCTTCCTCCTTCTCCCCCTCCCTCTGGCTCTCGTTCAGTAGCAAGATCCCTAGGTAAGGAGTGATTCTATAGGCTTACTACACACTGCCCGGTTAATAAGGTCAATCATTGTTCTTCGATGGCTCTCTCCCTAGGAACTGTATTGCTTGAATATGGTTGGGAAGGTTTGATGATGTTTGGAAAGGAAGAAGGATGCTGCGTGAAAAGCAGGCTGTGAATTGTGAGCTAAAGTATGCTTCTTTTTCTTATTCATTTCTCACAGAAAAAAAATAAACAACTGGGAACAATGAAGTTCCTTTTCTTCATGTTTGGCGTCATTCACCTTTTATCCCCAAGTTCTGGAAAAGCTATATACAAGAATGGCATTTCTCAGAGAACATTTCAAGAAATACAAAAAGAAGTAGCCAGCTATGAAGATGTTGCTAAAGCAATTATCAACCTTGCTGTTTACGGTAAATACCAGAACCGGTCCTATGAGCGTTTGGCACTTCTAGTTGATACTGTCGGACCCAGACTGAGTGGCTCTAAGAACCTAGAGAAAGCCATCCAAATCATGTACCAAAACCTACAGCAAGACGGTCTGGAGAATGTCCACCTGGAGCCAGTCAAAATACCCCACTGGGAGAGGGGAGAAGAATCTGCAATGATGCTCCTGCCTAGAATTCACAAGATGGCGATTTTGGGTCTTGGCAGCAGCGTTGGAACTCCCTCAGGAGGTACTCTTGGCTTTTTCAATTGGCTGTGCTCTTTAATCTAATCTCTGTTTCTCCCTCTCCCTCTTTCCCCTTCTTTACCTTGTTTTGATACATGGATTTCATGCAAACTAGTTTAGTCCTGAATTCATTATGTAGTCAAGGGTGACTGAACTTGTGATCCTTTTTTTCCTTCTCCTGAGTGTTGAGGTTACAGGTGTGTCCCCACACCTGGTTTCTGTGATGCTAAGGCTTCATGTTTGCTAAGCAAGTATCCTTCTAACAGTGCTACACATCTGTGGTTCTACTCTCCTGTCGTTTTGTACAACCAATATCCACCGACATGACTGACAATATATGTGATTTCTACTGTGAGGAAATATAATCATTTCTCATTTGATTTTCTTAGTGAGTTCTCAACCCATATTGTTTCTCTTCCATCTTCCTTCTTCCTTTTTTTCTATTTCTCTTCAGAAAGAAACCATACTAGGTAACTTTTCAGATGAATTATTATCAGCACCTTGGCTTTACCTTTATCCAGCAATATAATGCCTAGATATGGAATATATAGCCAGTTAGCAGTCACCTACCTGTAAAACTTGAATGTATTCATGGATTAATTTCCTATGGCAGATAAAGTATTTTGTATTCTTTTGACTTTCTCTTATACTAAGACCCAGCAGACACACAGTTTATTTAAAAATCATTAATGAAAAAGATTCATGTACTATAATATCTACCCATTAGAAACATAGCATAATGATTTTTAGCATATTCACAGAATTGTTCAATTTAATTCTAGAACATTTGGATTGTAGAACACAATTTAATTATTGAGCATTTAATTATTCCCTCCCCCGACCTCATAACTAGGAGGAGCCATATTTAATCCTCTAGTCCCACTCTCCAAGACCCAAGAAGCCACTAATCTGCTTTCTGCCCATCCTGGACTTGACCCACGGATGGAGCAATGCGCTCTGTGGCCTTTTGTGACCTTCATTCAGCATCATGCTTTCCCGGTCATTTATGCTGTGGCACATCTAAGTGCTTTTTCTTCATTGGTGAAGGGTATTTTATTTTTGTTGTCTTTATCAGTCAGCAAATCTTTAGACTGTTTCCACTTTTTCTAAATAATGAATAATGCCATTATATACATTTATTACAAGTTTGTGTGAATATGTTCTCATCAATCTTGTTTATATATCAAGGAGAAGAATTTCTGGGTCATTTGATAACTCTCTAGATTTAATTTCCTTGGTACTGGCAAGCTGTTCTCTGAAATTTGTACCATTTTATGTTCTTGCTAATAATGTACAATTTTCCCATTTACTTGCAAACATTTGTATTTATCTGTCTTTTTAGATATAGGTACCTAACAGTATCTCACTGTGGTTTTGCTTTGTATTTTATTAATGACAAGTGATATTGAACATCCTTCTATGCTTTTTATTATTACTTTTAATTATGAATTAGTTGATTTATTATTTGTGTGTGTGCAAGTGCGTGCATTTATGTATATGTGTTTCTTTGTGTATGTGAATTTGTGTGTGTGTGTGCATGCGTGTGCATGTGTGCATATATGTATATGCAAGTGTCTCTGTGTGTATGTGAATGTGAATGTGTGTGTGTGTGTGTGTGTATGTGTGTGTGTGTGTGCGCGCACGCATGCACACACACACACATTCCATACTGGATATACAAAGGTGTGAAGGTCAGAGGACTACTTTCTGAAGTTAGTTCTCTCCTCCCACCTTGTTGGTCTTGAGAATTACATACTGCCTATTGCTCATCTCTTTCCATCTTTTGTATCAGGTCCAAGTTCAGGACCTAACATGCTACATCAAGTTTTATAGGTTTCTTTTAACTGATACTCCTGACTTATTTCATTTGAATTGATTTCTATGCTGTTGTTTTCATTGTCTTTGTACAATATGGACTGCATTCTACTCTAGCACTTAAAATCATTCCATTGTCTCCAAAACCACAGAGAAACCCTGTCTCGAAAAACCAAAAAAAAAAAAAAAAAAAAAAAAATCATTCCATTGTTAAGGGTATGGTTCAAATTATGATCTCTGTTCCATGTTTGAAAACTCATTCATGCTTAAGCTTTCTTCAGGACTATGTGATGTTCCTAGTGCTCTTGTGTGTCTGCTGTATCTTATACTGAGAAGGTTTAATTTGCAGTTGGGCAGCAGTGTCAGGGAAGAGGGAGATCGGTGACCATCAGCCAAGTCACAATTTAGATGTTTACTCTGGTCTCTTCTCTCTGGAAAGAGAAGCAGCAGATGGAGGGGTCTGGAAAGCAGCAACTTAGTCTTACCTCTGAGTTTGTCTGAAAGAATCTTTTTTTTTTTTGATTTTCGAGACATGGTTTCTCCGTAGCTTTTGGTTCCGGTCCTGGAACTAGCTCTTGTAGACCAGGCTGGCCTCGAACTCACAGAGATCCACCTGCCTCTGCCTCCCGAGTGCTGGGATTAAAGGCATGCGCCACCACCGCCCAGCTGTCTGAAAGAATCTTAAAATAGCAATCCTGCATCCTCCTAATGCCACCACAGAGGCGTTCTACATCCAGCACTTCCTGTTTGTTGCTCAGGCAATAGCTAGCTTACTAATAAGATCCTACTATCAGATTATTAATTATTTGCACCTGACCCTTTCATCCTCCTCGGTCTCATAATAGAAATAGCATGATCTCAGTTGATGGGGGAGAATAATCTCTGATATCTAGTCACACTGAGTAGCAGTGCTGTGGAGATAGTGTATCCTTGGGTACTTTGCATTTGGAGGTATGAAATCAGCTGGTGGATCTAAGTGCAAAATGTCAGAGTTTGCAAGTTTTACTGGTTGTTGTGTAGAATACTCACATTGTCTTTGGGTAGGTGTTAGGCCACATTCAGATAACAGCATCTAAGACAAACTCCTATACTGTGACCATACCTTCATAAGGGTTTTCTTTCTTCATCTCATCTAGTCTATTTCTGCTCATATCTTTCAGCTGTACCCTTTTATCCCTAATTGTTTCTTTTTTCTTTTTTTTTTTTTGGTTTTTCGAGACAGGGTTTCTCTGTGGCTTTGGAACCTGTCCTGGAACAAGCTCTGTAGACCAGGCTGGTCTCGAACTCACAGAGATCCGCCTGCCTCTGCCTCCCGAGTGCTGGGATTAAAGGCGTGCACCACCATCGCCGGGCCCTAATTGTTTCTGTGAGAATAGGATACTACCGTTTGCTCTTCCTGGAAAGTTAAGATGCATGGGTCAGAAAGTCTGGAAAACAATGGCTGGATTATATGCTGAACTTTCTGCATTCCTTTTGCAGGAACATAAAGTAGCTTTGCATATTCTTTGCACCTTCATATTGTCATACTAGCATGGCTCAGAAAGTCAAACCAATAAACCAAAATCACCACTAAATTTGATTACATCAAAAACAAGAAATTGTATTCATGACCAGCGAGAAAGCTCAATAGGTAGAGGACCCTGGGAACATCCTGAGGACCTTAGTTCCATTCCTTGATACCACAAGATGGCAGGGGAAAATAAAATTACAGAGTTGTCCTCTGACCTAGGAAAGCTGGTGCTTTTGTCTGAGACCTGAGAGCTAGAGAGCTGATTGTATAGATTCTATTTTGGATTCTACATTGAATTGCCTGGGAACCAGGAATGTTGAAAGTAAGAAAGATTGATGTCTCATCTCAGTCAGTCAGTGTGATTCAACATTCTTTTGCCCTTTTGTCTATTCAGGCCCTCAATTGATGCATGATGCTAGTCCAAATTGTAGAAACATCTGCTTTATCCAGCCCACAAGTTCAAATACTAATCCTTTCTAGAAACATCTTCACTGCTCCAGCCAGAAGTAATGTTTAATCTGCTCCCAGTGCATTCGACGTCCCAGAAAGCTTCTTCTTTATGACAAATATGTGGGAAAAGAGAAAAACCTGAGAGGGCTCAGATTTTAAGGGGCAATGGTTTGGGTTTTGCCCAGAAATGGAGGAGCAAAAGAGTTAAAATAATAATTATTATCTTCCTGATGTAAGAGGTGAAGTTGAGAGAATCAAAGATTATCAAGTGTTTTAAGTTTGAGTTAGTGAAAAAAAATGAAGTGATGATGAGTGATTCCCCTCTGTATGCTATGTTGTTTTATTACCATTGGTTAATAAAGAAGCTGTTTTAGCCTGTAGCAGGGCAGAAGATAGCCAGGCTGGAAGAGATCTATAGAGAGAATAGGCAGAATCAGAGAGATGTGATGTAGCTGCCAAAGGAGACTGATACCAACACCTTGCTCAGTAAGCACAGCCTTGTGGCGATACATAGATTAATAAAAATGAGCTCATTTACAATATAAAAGCTAGCTAGAAATACACCTAAGCTATTGGTCAAACAGGGTTGTATGTATATAGTTTCTGTGTGATTATTCGGGTCTGAGTGACCAGGAAACAAAAGGGCAGTCTCTGTTTACAGAATGGTGCCACAACATGGGCCAAGTACATCCACATAAAACCTGAGAGATCTTGAGAAGGAATTCTAGGCACAAAAGAATAAGTGTTAAGCATGGCTTCTTGGTAGCAAAATTTTCTCAGGTGGGCTTTGTTTGCTAGAGGCAAGCAGAGGCATGATTCCTTAAGTTTCTGACTCAGCATTAGCATCAAAAACTGCACAGTTCCTTTAAGAGCCAGTTCCTGGTTTGTGCTGGTCCTGTTATGAAACAATTAAATGGGTTTTGTTAGTAGTGTGCTACTAGCTGCTTAATGGTAACATAGATTCACTGTGTCCCTGGAGCCAAGGCGGTGAGCATGGCTCACAGAGCTGGTGGTGAACATACCTCTCTGCCATGTTTGACTGGGCAGGGCCAAAAGACAAAGCAGCCTTAGTCCTAACCATGCTGCTTAGCATTTGAGGAAGCACTCCTAGTCAGAAAATGATTACAGATACACAATAAAGAGAGATTTGGACAAAAATAAATTCTGAATGAGTCACAGTGTGTTTAAAAATGTACACAGGTTTGGGAGAGAGAGGAAAAAGAATATAT